CCACTCCTCAGCAGAGCATTTTTGATTCTCCTGCCACAGTATCCTTCTTTGTGTTTGCCTCCCTCCAGGGGATTCCTCAAATTTGTGTTAGTTTTAGCTGCTACCGCCACATTTTGTTTTGTTTTATGATAAATAAATTTTGTTTTTGAGATTGCGGCACGGTGGTTCAGTTGGTAGAGCTGCTGCCTCTCAGCGAAAAGGTCGCTGGATCAAATCCCAGCTGGGGACCTTTCTGGGTGGAGTTTACATGTTAAATTAAATTCAGTTTATTTATATAGTGCCAAGTCACAACAGAAGTTATCTTGGGACACTGAACAGAAACATTCATATACATAAAAAATAAGTTAATATTATTTATCTAAGGAGCAGACTGCTTTGAGTTTAACTATATAGCAGACTTTCATCTTGAGCAAGCATGAAGGCGACAGTGGAAAGGAAAAACTCCCTCATGAGGAAGAAACCTTTAGCAGAACAAGCGGCCATCTGCTTCGACTGGCTGGGTTTGAGAGGAACAGGATGGAGGAACAGATACACAATGGCAGATCAAGAATCACTTGTTGAGATAGAAATAGTATCAAATGAAAACTATTCAATTTGAACAATTCATTTTAAGAAATAAGGTCAATTTGTCCTGTAGTAGTCTAAACTTAAGGCAGCATAACAAACCAACCCTAACTATAGGGTTTATCAAAAAGGAAAGACTTAAGCCCAGTCTTAAAACTGGACCATGTGTCAGCCTCACGGACAGAAACTGGAAGTTGGTTCCACAAGAGAGGAGCCTGATAACTGAAAGATCTTCCTCTCATTCTGCTTTTGTAAACTCTAGGAACCGCAAGTAAACCTGCAGTCTGAGCACGAAGTGCACTCTTGGGAAAATATGGAACAATAAGATCTGCAATATAAGCTGGAGCTAGGTTGTTGAGGTCTTTGTAGGTTAGAAGTAAGATTTTGAATTCAATTGTGAATTTGACAGGGAGCCAAAAGAGAGAAGCTAAAACTGGAGAGATATGATCTCTCTGGATATGATGTTCTCTCTGTGCATGCATGGGTTTTCTCCTTGTACTCCAGTTTCCTCCCACAGACCAAAAACATGCATATTAGGCTGATTGGTAATTCTAATTTGATCCTAGGTGTGAGTGAGAGAGTGAATGGTTGTTTGTCTCTATGTGTCCCTGGAGATCTGTCCAGGGTGTCCCCTGCCTCTTGCTGAGTGGCTGCTGGGTATGGGCACCAGTGACCCTCATGGCTCAGAAAAGAAGAAGAGGATAAAGATAATGGATGGATGGATGTTTTGAGCGCCTCAAATTCAAGTGTGTTTTCTTGGTTCCTACCTTCCTGGTACTGGGACAATTTTAATCTTGTACAATTTCTGCCTCTCATGTTTCGTGCATTGTCCATGAAGAGCCGTGCTGGTTACACCGTGTCATTATGCAAAGTTGCAATACCTTAGAATCAAGAGTAGGTCCCGTATATGAATTAATGGTTAAGTTGAGTGCATCTTTTGAAAACTGTGGCTCATGAGAATTAGCTCTCTTGCAGCAAATACCCCTCATGTTGAGTTTATAGAAGTTCCCCAACAGATATGTTTCATTGGATATGGCCATACTTGTTTGCAAAGATGGAAAATTTCTCTGTATGCCAGCTTTTAAACCAAAATACCTCCAACTAGATGATTTCATCTTCCTTTTTATACGCCTGTCGAAGGTGGGACGTATTACGGTATAGTCTCCTTCTGTCCGTCCCAACATGCATCCGTAAACTTTCTCTTGTCTTGTCTTGTCTCCCCCCATAACTTCTATGCTCAAGATAATTTAATGAAGCTTATTTTTTTTTTATTTTTTTTTTTTTTTAATGAAGCTTATTTAACGAAACAATACACACATGCATCGTCACTGGATAGTGTTGCATACACTTTTCATCACCCCAGCTCCAAGGTCAAGGTTCACGGTCACAGTTCATTCATACTATCCTTTGAGACAAATAGCATTAAAAAAAAAACATTTTCCATATGATTTTTTTTTTCCCCTTTGCTGTTTGTACCATGGAATCTGCAAAATGCCTGTCACTTTATGTTTTGCTTCTCGTGGGACAGACTCGAACATAAACCCTGGGAAACGTTGCACAAACATGCTTTCTCTGTCATTTTCACCAACATGTCTTCCCATTCAGCTCGATCCTGTCTGTGTTGTTCTTATTTTAAACGTCTGACCTGCTGCCTCTGCTGAAGCTCCTCATGTCAGTCAGCTTCAAAATCAGAGTTCAGTGAAATGAGAGGACAGGAAGTAGCAAACCTTTATGTTTCTGTGCCAAGTGCGTTTGCTCATTTTTGCCTGAAACCTCCTTACCTTTACCAGTTGTCTTACTTAAAGGTCAGAGGTCAGGTCTATTCATGTTCCAGACAGGTGAGGGTAACATAAGTTCTTATTGGTTATTCTTTGTCCTCTGATAAAGGTGGGAACTCTGAATCACCACTAAAAATATTAAACTAAATCGTGACGGTGCTCATTTTTTGCTCGTCGGTGGTGCATAAATGTTTTTATTCCTGCTTATTGATCCTGTTAGAATGAAAGCGGCATAACTTGAACGAACATCCTGCTGCCTTGCATCCTAAAGTTTTCAACAAAGCTCTTGTGTGAGCTTCAGATGATGTGTTGAGGATCAATCTCATCTGCTGCCATGCTTCATTTTCGGTGAACATTTGTAAAAATGACTGAGTTAACGCCGTTTTTGGGGGTTGCAAGGTTCGATCAGGTATGATGGCCGTAAGTTGTACATCCAGATCCACTAAATACTTTCTGGGTGTTTTATTAAAATCTGTTCAATGTTATTATGAGTAAAGCAGCCGTACTACAGCGTGGCTGAAGTAAAACCATAAACTGTACATCTGCCTAAGAAACACCTTAATCTGTTCCACATTCCTTGTAAAAACTTCAGATAAAGTTTAAATTTCAAGGTTAAAAAAAAAATCTGTTTTATGACCCTAAAATACTGAGCATGTGAAAAAATATGAGCTAGTTTACCAGTTTTATAAGTAAACTTACTGAAGGACTACTTTAGCTCGATTAGTTTAACCCATGAAGCTCCACGTGGGTTTGTCAGACAAATTCAATTCAAACTGAATTCAAATTCAGTATTTCTGCTGATTTCTTGCCTTTAAACTGCTGTATTCACACCCATCTGCTCACTACACACTCATGTTCAGGCCGTATTATTTTACATTATTAGTGTTTAATATACATATATATATATCTTAGACCCTTGTATACTGTTTTTTTTTTTTTTACTTTATAGCTATTTTTGGATGTAACTGGGACATTTAATACATAATTTCATTCCACCTCATGTACCACATGTGATGCGAATGACAATAAAGAACCTTGAACCTTGAAAAAGGTGTTTTTAAAAAAAATCTGACACATACCAAAAAAAAAAAAAAAACTATTTACTGAATTGTCAAAGTATTCTTTTAAATAAAAGTAAGGACGTTTCTTTCGGCTGCTTCCTTCTTGAGGGGTTGCCACAAACTCGCACGAAAGATTTGACAGTTGTTTTATGCTGGATACCCTTCCTGAGCAACCTGGGCTCGAACCTGCAACCTCAGGATTACAAGACCACAGTACTGACCACCAAGCTACCGCAGTGGGGGGGGCAGGCCCCCAGAAACCATCTTATCATCAGTAAACTGGTTGGTCCACTATGTGAGTGTGCTGCTTGTGGGACTGAGTATGTTGTGGCTCCTCGGACTGATGAAGTCCTTTGGATAAAGGACGAAACATCTCAACAACAACAAAAAAGAAACCATACAGAGGACCTGATTGGACTTGGTTGGATAGCTTACTTGCAGACTTTTCTTCTCCTGTTCAGTATTTTAGGGTTATAAAACAGATTTTTTTTTTTATTTTACCTTGAAATTTAAACGTTATCTGGAGTGTTGATAGGCGAGACATGGATGGAGCAGATGTCAGGACTGAGGAAGACGAGCACGTCAGTCGATTTTCCCCTGCTGTGCTGGCTTCTCCTTCCCTGGGCGTTTTAGAGTTATTGCATACTGAAGGGCTACTTTAGCTCGATTAGTTTAACCCCTGAAGCTCCACGTGGGTTTGTCAGAGTCAAATTCAGCATCCTGAGGAAGCAGCGGGCTGCAGCGCAATAAAATATTCAATTCTGCGCTTTTACGGATAAAATAGTCCAACACACCAGCTGAAACAGTGTTATAGCGCAGGGACGATGTACCTGTGTTCTCTGAAAACAACACCCACATGCTTTCACGCACGCATTCACCCCCAGAACACGTGCATGCACATGTGCACACCGACACTCTTTGTTTTTGCCATGCAGGTGTATCTGCATGCAAACGGCTCATTCTGAGACAATCTGATCACACGGAGGAGGTTTGCCCGGTCAGTGAGAATATCGCCAGGGCGGAATGGAAACTTCATTTTGCAGGGGGCTAATATTAGCCCGGGCCTCTGGAAAATTCCTTTTAAATGATCACAAGCTGAGAAAAGGCGAAGAATTTGTTTAGTGTTTTGCCCGACATTCTACTCTGCATACACGGCACTTTGTTTCTCGCTCCGTTTTTTATTTTCAGATGGTACAGCACACAGGAGGGTCCTGGGAACACAGATGTGGAGGCGCGGAGGGCCAAAACAGCTGATATGATGACATATAGGACAGTCTGACTGTATATCTCTCTGACTGAATCACTTTTTCCTGGCTCTGTGAACCATTGGACACTGAACATCTGATCTTTTTTTTCTGGAACAAGAACCAGTTTCTTCTTTAGATCACTTTGTGTCACCTGCAGTCACTCAAGCATCACTATTGCCGTGGCGCTCACGACAGTTTTATACATATGACACGCTCCAGACTGATTTGGTGTAGACAAATGTGCCTGTGTCTGTCTCACAGTAACCTCCTGCTCACAGTTTGAGCTATATTTACCTCGCTTTACCTTTTTGTGACTTTAACTTTAAAACTTGTATGTGCACGTCTGTTAGGAAAATCCCACCTGGCCATCGTGCAGAGGGTGAACAACGAAGGCGAGGGAGACCCTTTCTATGAGGTTCTGGGAATCGTCACCCTGGAGGACGTTATTGAAGAAATAATCAAGTCCGAGATCCTGGACGAGACGGACTTATACAGTAGGTTCTCCTCTCCAAGCTCAAACTCTTAGTGGTGTCCTCAAAGGCCACTATCTTGCATGTTTTACTGGTTTCCCTTCTCCGCAAACTTTGTCTCTAGTCTCTAGCTTTTGTAGTTGTTTTATAAAAATGGTGTCTTCTTTACCAAAATGCTGCCATGTTAGCTCTGTGTTTAAAACCCGGTTGCTTCTTTATGAGGCATGAGACATGTTAGGCAAAGCCCCCATAAAAATGTAAAAATGTACTTTCTGTTGTTTTATTTAATTTGTATTTTAATAAACCAGTATTTCCTAACACTGGTCCTTGAGGAACACCATCCTACATGTTTTAGTTGTTTCCCTGCTCCAGCACACCTGATTCAGTGATTTAACTGCATCATCAAGTCCTACAGAAGCATGTTAGTCACCCATTGATTCAAATCAGGTGCAGGGAAACAACTAAAACATGCAGGATGGTGTTCCTCAAGGACCAGGGTTGGGAACCACTGATTAAGACTACTGTATTATAGCAGTTGATTGTTTTTACAAGTTTACATGCAATTTTTTCATAAAATTACAACTTTCCTGATAGATGTTTTTAACTGTTACACAGTGGAACTTTACAAATGAGATGCTCATGGCACCAACTGGCAGAAAACATAAAGTGATTGTTTGCAGAGCAGATAAATAAAAGATATAGATGATAAAAATTAATTCACTGCAGAAATCACAGTTTTATAAACAGGTGAAAAATCGCATCTGATGCTTCTGCAAAACCAAATGAAAGAGTAACAAGTTGTTTGAATATTTATTTGGTAGTGTTGATATTTTCTTTTTATCCCCTCAAACTTTACCATTTAATACCTCACGCTCCTATAAAATAATAAATCCAGAGGCTGTTTTTTTTTACACCTTTTTCCAGTTTGTTAATTAGACTTCAAGCTGATCCAGACACACTGTTACACCGATATAAAAGTTTACGACATTTAAGCCACAGGTCTTTGACATAACCTCAATTTGACAGAAATAATAATAACAAACTGGAGAAATTGTGTTTCCTGTGAAAATGCAGTGTGAATTCTTATTACTGAAGAACTTGCTGAAAAACAGCTGAAATTAACTAAAAACATGCTGAAATGTAGGTGACTGTGAAAAACAAGCCTACGATAGCAGAAGAAAGCAAATAACATTTTTTTGCTGAATTACGTCCAAAATTAGGCAATATGCTAAAAAGCTGAAATTAGCCAAAAAAATAACTGAAAAGTAGCTGAAAAGGCAGAAAGAAGCTTAAACTACCAGAACAAAGTGAAAAGAGCTGAGATGAACTAAAAAAATGTGGAATTAGCTGAAATAGCTAAAATGAGCACAAAACAGCTAAATAGTAGCTGAAATAGCAGAAAAGCTGAAACTAGCAGAAAAAAGCTGACCAGAGCATTACAAGCTGAAAGTAGTAGAAATTACCACAAAAAACACTTGAAAACAACCAAAATACTAAGAAATGCTAAAGAGTTAGATGAAAAGGTAGAACAAGCATAAATTACCAGAAGGATGTGGTGAGAGCACAGTTTTGCCCAGTTAGGTAGAAAGAAGCAGAAATGAGCACAAAAAAGTGGAAATTATCTGAAAAAAAAAATAAATTAGCAATAACAACAACAAAAAAAAGCATCCTCTAAAAGTTGCTAAAAAGGCAGAAAGAAGCTTAAATTACCAGAAGGAAGTGGAAAGAGCACATTTTTGCAGAATTAGGCAGAAAAAAGTTGAAATAAGTGCAAAAAATGTGGAATTAGCTGAAAAAGCTAAAATTAGCATAAAACAACTATATAGTAGATGAAATAGCAGAAAATGCTGAAACTTGCATAAATAAGCTGAAAGGAGCATAACAAGATGAAATTAGAAAGAAGTTAGAAGAAGCACAAAAATGTTGTATTTAGCAGAAAGAATATGAAAGGAGCACAAAACAGCTGAAAAAACTGCTGAAAGTAGCTGAAAAAGTTTAAATTTGCACAAGGAAGCTGAAAGAAGCTGAACCAAAACAAAATGCGAAAGGAGCAGTAAAAGGTTGTAAACACATCTAAACATTTGAAGGATGTAAAATGAGATAAATTCATTTTCTATGAGAAGAAAAATGGCAGAAAAGGCTAAATATTTCAAAAGGCTAAAGTCGTAGCACCCTCCTCCTGAACGAGCTGAACATTTTGTAATGGTTTGTTGTAATAGCTTGAAAACAGCAGGATGAGAATCACGCCGAAAAATGTACATGAGAAAAATGGATCACAATAGTGTGAATGCTTCATAAACGTTCACACAATAATGTTTTAACCCAACTCGTGGAAATGTCATTGCTTAACTGTGGTTCAACAGAAACAAACCTACAACTGGCCTTCACTAAAAGTATTTTACACTTATGATTATTTTGCACAATCTTTAGAGGTAATCGCTGAAATCGTTTCTGTAACTCACTCTGAGACTTCAGCACCTGTACTGGGATGTTTTAGTCCACCCTGCTGAGCAAACTGCTCCAGCTGTCTCAGGTTTGAAAGGTTCCCTCTCCAGACTGCAGGTTTCAGCTCCTTGTTCAGCAGTTCAACAGGATTTAGCTCAGAAGTCCACTTCAAAATTGTCCCATGTTTGGTTCTGATCCAATCTTGGGTGTTTCGGCTCATTATCTGTTTGGGCGACCAGGCATGTTTCAGGAACATCAATCTGCTTGGAGATGGTTTTATAGCCTTTATTTTTAACATCATGACAATCATTGTTTTTCTAAGCTCCTGGGACAAGTTGTATTTTTAGCCTTTTGTGATCCATGTTCATCGTCTTACACACCAAGATACCAAACAGCATAGTGTCTACTTCTCATCCTTTAAATAGAAGCAGACTGATTACTGGACAGATGTTAGTTTTACGTTTCCCTGTGGTCAAATTATTTTGAATCTTTCTAGAGGTACCAGCTCTTAGGTCAAGGGCAGTTTCATTATTTTATTTTATTTATTTATTTTGGACCCAGGATTGCAGACTGACACAAGGAGCTCAAGTCAAAATGTATTTAACAAAACAAAAGGGTGATGTGGCGGCAAAACTACAAATGAACACAACTTAAAGGAACACAGAGGAGGACCAGACTCTGTAAAATGCATAACACACAATGCTAGACAGAGGAGCAGTGAAAACTGAGGGATGACATGGACAGGGGTGGATGAGTGGAGGGGAAACACCTGGAGTAATGAACGTGGGGGACAGGTAGAGTGGGCGTGGCAGGAGCTGAAGGAGCAGAACTGACTGAGGAGAAAATGACAGATGACAGAGGAAACTGGGAACAAATTCAGTTCAGTTTATGTATAAAGCACCAACTCACAACAGAAGTCATCTCAGGGCACTGAACAGAAACATTCACATACTTTATAAATGCCAGTTATAAATGCCAATTATTCATTTGTATTCATTAGTAGCTGGGCGTCTCCCTAGGGAGGTGCTTTGGGCATGTTCTACTGGAAGGAGACCCAAGACATGCTGGAGAGACTATGTCTCTTAGCTGACCTGGGAACACCTTGAGAGTTCTCCCAGAAGAGCTGGAAGAGGTGGCTGTGGAAAGAGATGTCTGGGCCTCCCTGCTCAAGCTGCTGCCCCGAGACCCCACTTTGGAATAAGTGGAAAATAATGGATGGATATTCATTAGTAGCTATTTGTTTGATGAAACAAGGTCAATTTGTCCTATATTCTAAGCCTATAGCAGCATAACTAAGGAATATCTCAGGAAACCCAAGCCAACCCTAACTGTAGGATTTATTAAAAGGGAAATACTTAATCCTAATCTTAAAAGTAGACAATGTGTCAGCCTCACGGACAGAATCTGGAAGTTGGTTCCACAAGAGAGGAGCCTGATAACTGACAGCTCTGCTTCCCATTCTGCTTTTGGAAACTCTAGAAACCACAAGTAAACCAGCAAAGCTCAGAAAAAAAAAACCAATTGAAAACTATCAAATACCAAAAACAACCGAAAAAAGACACAAATCCTGACCACTTCATCGACCTTTGCGGTTTTTTCTTTCTTTAACTAAAAGAGTACAAACTCCTCTGTAAGTTGAGCTCTGTGTCAGTTTAATAAATAACCATAAAACAAACAACTTTAAAAAAAATAACCATTTCACTTTCTATAAATAATGCTTTATTTATATTCCAAAATAGTGTAATATTTATTTCAAGGCCACTTGGCAGCTTATTTCTTTTAATGAAAAGCTTTATTTTATCCTTCACTTTTCTCAATATATTAACTTCTAATTGTTTTTGGTTTGAATTGTTTTTCATCACATCTTAAAACCAGAGACAAATGACAGGTTTATTTATTTATTTATTTATTTTTGTTAACATATCGCTCCAAAATGTGGCCTGCTCGATTTGTTCTCCCATCAGCGGTATCAGTAAGGATCCACATATAAGAAATATGTGTACAGTGTAATGTGCCCTAATACATATTGCTTTCAGCAATGTTAAGAATGTGGTAAGAATGTCGCTCTCCTTTTCTGAGAAAGACGCTCTGCTGTAATTCCAGAAATGAGCTTTGTGTAACTTCAGTTTAGGCACCCTGTGACCCGGGGCTTTAGCTCGGAGTCTGTGGAGTGTCTCTAATGTACCGATGGAGGCAAGGGAGGAGAATATATGGTGCCGTTGGTAAAGTTACACAGTCAAAAATTAACAGCAATATTTTTGGTTTATTTAGCTTTTCATAAGAAAAAAAAATAGTTTTTTTTTTTCAAAGTCATATTTTCACTGTTATTCATACATTTGTAAATGTCATAGTTCCAAATTAAATATTTAATGTACAAGCTAAATATTTAGTTATATTCAGTTAGCAAGCTAAATATTTAGCTCCCCGCTAAATATTTAGTTTACAAACTAAATGTTTATGTCCAAGCTAAATGCTTAATTTACAAACTAAATATTTAACTTGCAAGTTAAATATTTGGGTCTGAACTAAATATTTAGTTAGCAAATTAAACATTTGTTTTGGAAATTAAATGTTTAGCTTGGAAAATAAATGTTTACTTCCGAGCTAAACGTTTAGTTAGCAAATTAAGTGTTTAGTTTAGGAATTAAACGTTTAGATTAGAAATTAAATGTTAATTTTGAAAATAAATATTTAGCTTGGAAATTAAATATTTAATTTACACCTAAATATTTAGTTCACTAACTAAATATTTAACTTGCAAGTTAAATTTTTAGTTTGTAAGTTAAACATTTAGTTTGTAAACTAAATATTTAGCGTGGAGCTAAATATTTAGCTTGCCAACTAAATATTTAACTTGCAAGTTAAGTGTTTAGTTTGTAAACTAAATATTTAGCTTATAAATTAAATATTTAGTTTGGAACTATGACATTTATAAATCTATGAATAACAGTGAAAATATGACTTTAAAAAAATGGGGTTTTTTTTATGAAAGGCTAAATAAACCAAAATATTGCTGTTAATGTTTACTGTGTAACTTTACAAATGGCACCCCATAGGGAGAAGAGTCGCAGGTCATGCCTTACAACTGACTTCTCGTTTTTTCCCCCACCCTCAGCTGACAACAAGACGAAGAAGAAAATCACCCATCGGGAAAGGAAGCAGGATTTCTCGGCCTTCAAGCCCACCGACAATGAAGTGAAGGTTAAAATATCACCTCAGCTTCTGCTGGCTACCCTGCGTTTCTTAGCAACAGGCAAGTGGGCTGCGTTGCTGCTTGACTCCCCCCCCCCCCCCCTTCCATCCACCACCCCAGTGTGCCCCTCTCTGTGGGGAAACTTTGTGTGTGAGCATGTGCTTGTATGGGCTTTCAGTCCAGGCTATAAGGGAGGAAGAAGAGTGAGTATGTGTGTAGAATGAGTATCTGCGTGTTGGCATGCATGTGTGTATGTGCGAGAGTGCGGCACGAGATGACTGCAGGCTGTATACCCCCCCCCCCCCCCCACACACACACACCAATAAAAGAAAGAAAAACTGCAGGCGTTTATTTGCTTGCATGTCATGCACCGAGGGTCACACATCTTACCTCGCAGCTTTAAAAACACCACCCTGTTTGCTTACACTCGTTCCTCAATGACATCACGTCCAGCATTTTTTGGCCTATGATCACAGTTCTCACACAAGTCGACATACTTGCGTACTTACTGGTGTAAAATGTGAAATATTTCACCAGCTTTCCCTTGGGAAATGGAACGGGCAGCGGAATAATCGAGCTCCACTACAACGGCAGCGGCCGACTGTGCCTCATTGCGTTTGGATTTGCTTCAGAACTTTGACCTGGCGGCTAAGCGTTGATTAAGTTCCTCTAAAGGCTATTAGGGACTTGAGTTCCTCTCTGCGGCCAGCTGACACACATCACCGCCGCTGAGTTGAAGGAGCTGATTGGCCCAACAGGTGGCTGAAGCTGCAATTAGGAGTCACTCACAAACTTTCATTTCTGCTGCCGTTTGAATGAAACGTGCATCAAAAGCTGCCGGCAAGTTATTCTAGGTTTTGTCGTGTGGACACCAAAATGTAAATGAGTTTTATCTGCAGTTTTTTAATATTAGATATTTGTATATATGTGTGTGTGTGGGTGTAAAATAATACCCTAAATAAGGAAATTGCATTTTTTGAGAAAATGCAGTTTAAATGCTGAATGACTGCTAAAAGAAGCTGAAAATGAATTGTTAAAACGAAAATAAGCAGAGCACTTGCTAAAAGCTAAAATAAGCTAAACACTAGCTAAAAGATAAAATTAGCAAAATGCTAGCTAAAAACCTAAACATAACGTCCATCCATCCTTTACACGCTTCTTCCTTTTCAGGTCGCGGTGTCCAGATCCAGTTGTCTCTGTACGATAGGCGAGGGACACCCTGGACAGGTTTCCAGTCCATCACAGGGACACATCGACACAAACGAAACAACTGTTCACTCTCTCACTCACACCTAGAGACAATTTAGAGTTACCAATCAACATAACTTGCATGTTTTTGTTCTGTGGGAGGAAACCGGAGTACCCTGAGAAAACCCACGCAGCACTGAGAGAACATACAAACTCCACCCGGAAAGGTCTCCGGTCGGGATTCGAACCGGCTACCCTCTCCATGAGAGGCAACAGCTCTATCAACTGAGCAACCATGCTTCCCTAACACAACAAAAACTAGCTAAAAATAATATAACAGTAGCTAAAGATTAAAATTAACAAAAGGTTAGCTAAAATAACCCGAGCGCTAACTAGAAGTTAAATGTAGCAAAAGTCAGACTAAAAGCTAAAGCTAGCAAAGAGTTAGTGAAAAGCTAAAATGAGGGGAAGACGAGCTAAAAATAGCAAAAAAGTAATAAAAGACTAGCTAAAAGCTAAAGTAGCATAAGAAGACAAAAATAGAGGAGGCACGCTTAAGCAGATTTCTAAGACGACAATGTTTTAGAGGGAGCTGAAGAGACAGTTTATTTATTTGGTGAAATTTTATGTTAATAAATATTATAAGTCGAAAAGTTAGAAAAATTAAAAGTCAAAGCACCCATTTCCGGAATGAGCTGAACAGTTTGATATACGAATGAGTAAAATTCACAATGTATGCAGAAGTAGTTGGATTTTTAAAAAAGTACAGAAAAATCAATATCAGGAGAACAACTATGATACAAATCTTGAAAACATGGGTTTTCCAAAGACTTTCAGAGTCACATAAACCACAATATCCATAGAAACAGGACAAAACTTTAGTACGGTAAAGTTAAAAACAGAGGAGAAGAAACACAAACCCAGATATTGATTAATTATAAATAAATAGTAGAGCAATTATCCAGAAATATACGACATCACAGCGTATGGTTTGTTGTTTGTTACAAGGATGGTCTTCTGTTTTTGCAGATCTAAGTCAGACTTATAGGACTTTAAATCTGTCACTGTGAGATCTTCCTGCCTAATATTAGTTTCACATGTGGTTTAACAGATTTAGCCCACGTTAAAAAAAACATTTAATTTTACTTTTGTGCATTTTGTCCCTTCCTTTGCCATGTTGTATTGTGTCTGCAAGCTTCCAAATCTCCAAACGAACTTATTTCTACCACAAGAGAAGCCAGTCCTGAACTGTTCACATGATCCCTTATTTGAAGTCCTGCCTCCTCTTCCTTCCCATAACAACATCACGGTGAACACGTTTGTAAAATTCCCATGTAGTGTCTAATTTAACACCTTGAACAAAGAGTGCAGATTCTTATTCAACTGATTGCAAAGCTAGTATGACATAATTGTGGTATTTATGCACATTCTCAGTGCTAATCAGGTCCCTGTGTGACTGAGGGCATCAGCCTCAAATTTTGCAACGATGTGCGTGGTCCACTTCAACAAAACTGAAATAAAACTTTATTTAAAAATGTCGCACTAAGGACTCAACAGTGACAGAAAACTACAGGAATGGCCACAAGCAGAAGACGAATAATTATTCTCTTGTTCACGTTTGCGTAGTTCACCAGAGTTCAAAAGGTCCCAAAAATTGTGGTGTAAAATCACTTGAGTGACCAGCTCATTTTCACCACCTATTGGACTAGAGTGAACTGGAGTCATGAGTTCAACCCAACCCTACTGAACAGCTAGTACCACCTGAATGTTCCTCCCTTCTTATCTGGTTTATGATCCAATCCACTGTAATAAACAGCAGTTGACTTGACAACAACTGGACAATCAGAGCCCATCAGATCAGTCAGGGTACTTAAGGATTTTGTAGCTAGAACAGAAAGTTTCCAAAAGGTGAAAAGTGCTGAGTTTGTATCCTGGGCACAAAGTCAAGCTCATTGTTGGTTTGGGTTAGACTCTGCCAGAGCTGTTCCTTGTTTCCATTCCTGTTTGTGATGTTCATGGACAGGAGCTCAAGGCGCAGTCGTGGATAGACTTCAGTGTCTTCTCTGCTTTTTCAAATGATATGGTTCTGTTGGTGTCTTCGGGCCACAGCATTCAGCTTGCACTGGGGCAGTTCCCAGATGATTGAGAAGTGACTGCGATGGGAGTCCGCTCCTCTAATTCCGAGAAAATAGTTCTTAACCAAAAATGGTGGAATTCCCCCTCCAGGTCAGTTTTTGCCTCAGGTGGAGGAGTTCAAGTATCTGGGAGTCTTTTTCACGAGTGATGGCGCAGGAGATGGATCGTCAGATTAGGGCCTCGTCCTCAGTAATGAGGATGTTGCTTTGGTCAGCTGTAGTGAAGAGTGAGATTACCATATTTTTTGCTGTATAAGTTGCAGTTTTTTGCATAAATTAGCATGCCTGCGACTTATACAGTGAAGCAACATATTTACCCCCCCCCCCCCATATTCATAACCCAATTTTTGGCTGAGATCTGACGATTTCATTCATTCTGACTTGGAAAATATTGAACACTGCCATTTTCAGCCACTAGAGGGCCCTCGACTAATATGGCAAGCCAAGTGTCTCATTAATAGGTAAAAGTGGCTATTAATGAGACACTTGGCTTGCCATACCAAGCCACCTTCATCTCGCTCCAGAACTCATGGAGCAAATGTCAAATCAGCTTCATTTCACTGCGCCGCCCAGGTGAAATGCAGCTGATTTCACCATTAAAGTGCATTTATTAAGGAAAATTTCAACTGAGACACAACTTTGTTATAATGTCGAGCAAACAAATAATTGTTTTTAGGTGGTTATCTTGTTAAATTTTGAAGAAATGCACAGCGAGCCGTCCGTCTGCGTGCTCGCACTTTGCATATCGGCTTTTGAAATGCAGCTGATTTGCCTGTCAAAGTGCATTTATTAAGGAAAAGTTTGACTGAGACACACCTTTGCTATAATGTCGAGCAAACAAATAATTGTTTTTATCTGTTGATCTTGTTAAATTTTTGGTAAAGGCCTCCCGTGCATGCTCCCGCGGCCGCCATTTGGTAGCCAATCGATTTTTGGCACAACACCGGCCCAAAGCTCTCGAATTACTTACCTGTCTACATTCCAACTCTCACCTGTGGTCAAGAGGTTTGGCTCATGACCAAAAGAACAAAAATGAATGCTGAGTTCAGTATTAGAGATAGGGTGAGGAGGTTAGACCTCAACACCAGTTCTAGTTGTTTACAATCAACTAGAACTGGTGACATTAGGGGCTATGGTTGAGTAGCATTTCAAAAACCACACCAATATGATGCTGCAGATATTCCAGTGTTTGCTTGCATAAATCAGCTTAAAATAACGTCATCAAGTGTAAATTGTTTCAAGTTTTAGCTGTTGTATTTAGATTTATCAGAGCATTATTACAGATGTACATACATCTATTTTTTTTCTTCACTGCTGTTACTCAGATTGCGTTTACCTACAGAATATTTACGTCAACACAAACTTGTTCATAATTTAGAGCTAAACAGACGCCTGGACAGGAACAAAGCCTTAAATACCGACCTGTGTTGAGCTTCAGTGTGCTTGAGCTCTTTGGGTTCCTCCTGCCATCACTGTAGCATGATCCTCCTCTGAGTTCAAAGTGAGGTGTAGCTTCTATTCTTCCATAGACTGTTTACTTTGTGAGATCTTCCCAGATTTATCTTTTGAAGTAAAGCTGCTCCCACAGTCTCACATTTTTATAGAGTACATAATTAGTACGTAATAGTACATTACCAGGTACATGTCCGATAAGAACCAGGTACATACACTGTAAATACCTTGTATGTATCTACTAAGTTCAAGGTACTTATCCAGTATGTATCCAGTACACACCCATTAATTATAAGGTACATACCTGGTAGATGGATAGTACATACCCAGCAGGTACAAGGTATGTATCCTGTAAATAATAGATTTGTACCCAAGTATGTGATATTTACGCAGTAGGTGTAAGTCATGTACCTGGTAGATCACATGTGTCAAACTCGAGGGCCAACTATGGCCCTTGCTACCATCTAATTTGGCCCCCGATATTTTCTATATAAATGATTTTATCATTTTGCTTAAAAACCGAGCATATTTTATTTAATGCACTTCTCATGAAAGATGGCCAACTTTGAAGTTGAGAAAATTTTGGTATTTTTTTATCTTGATGTGGAAAGAGTAACAGGGATGTCAAATGAGACTGATCAAGCCCTTGTTGGGGACCAAAAGGCCAAGAAAACATGTTGGGTATTTGACTTGAGTTATTGTAATAAGTGAAATTGGACCTTGTTTTGAATCAACTTTTTTAATTTTGGCCCCCTTTTGTAACCAAGTCTGACACCCCTGTGGTAGAAAAAGGTACATACCCAGCAGGTACAAGGTACATACCTGTAAATAACAGGTTCGTACCTGGTGAGTATGTGATACATACCCAGCAGGTACAAGGTACATACCTGTAAATAACAGGTTTGTACCTGATGAGTATGTGCTACATACCCAGTAGCTACAAGGTACGTACTGGTAGGTTGAATGTACATACCCAGTAGGTACAAGGTACGTACCTATAAGTAACAGGTTTGTACCTGGTTAGTATGTGATACATACCCAATAGGTACAAGGTACATACCTGGTAGATGGAAGGTACATACCCAGTAGTACAAGGTAGGTACCCTGTAAATAAGCCCATATCTGATAAGTATGTGATATATACCCAGTTGGTACAAGGTACAAACCTGGTAGATTGAAGGTACATACCCAGTAGGTATAAGATATGTACCCTATAAGTACCCATTATGTACCCTTTACGTACCAGGTATATACCTGATGAGTACCAGATACATACCCAATGGATACACAGTTTATACCCAGTAAGTACTGTATACGTACCCGTTAAGTACTTGATAGCTTCCAAGTAAACACCACGTTGTCTTTTGTGTTGCTTTCTTTAATATAATTTAAATCAAATTAAAATTAGACTTATTTGAGTTTAAGTATTAGGTGTTAGGATTTAACTGGTAATTTAGCTGAATTAATCAACCATTTAAAACTGGGAAAGAACTGGCCAGTTATTTCACAGCGTTTTAATGGTCCTTCTTGTTACTGGAATTAAAATTCACTGCCTGTAAAAAGACGTATGTACATTTTTACAGTAATCCCAACAATAAAATTATGTAAATATTGTGTTTGTGGAGATTTATTACATCTGTTTCAATGTCACCTTGAAACTCAGAGTAAAACTTGGACTGCAGTGATGTAAATATGAACTTTGCAGCTTATAGTTTCAGGCTGCCTTTTAGGGAAAACACTTGCAGTGTTGCCTAAGAACTTGGGTTTCACCCCCACACAGATGGCCAGTTAGGGTCAGGCCTCAGAACGTTGCAGTAAACGTCGTACTTAGATATAGATTTGTTTGATTTTGAAGTTCAGAATTTGATTCTTTTTGCAGAAATCAAACCAGATTTTAGATTTTGGATTCTCGTTTTAAATATTCTGACAATAAGAAATTTAATCTTCATATTTAGTCATTAAATCTAACTTTTTTTTTTTATTTCCTGTTTACTTCTGCAGAGGTGGAGCCATTCTCACCGGTGCAGATGTCAGAAAAGATTTTGCTTCGATTACTTAAGCACCCCAACGTCATCCAGGAGCTGAAATACGACGAGAAGAATAAACGAGCAGCGGAGCACTACCTCTTCCACAGAAGCAAACCTGTGGACTATTTTATCCTCGTACTGCAGGTGGGCAATCACACGGAGGTGTAAAAAGGGAAGATACAGCAGTCACTTGTGCAAAAAATAAGAAAAATAATTTATAATCACTGAACTTCTGAAGAGGAAGTGCCTGAAACATTTAATTCAACTTTACAGAGAAATTGCATTTCCTGCGAAAATGCAGTGTGACTGCTATTGCAGAAGAACTTGCTGGAAAACTGCTGAAATTAGCTAAAAACATGCTGAAATGCAGCTGAAATGGAAGAACATGCTTAAATTAGCAGAAGAAAGCAGAAAGAATACATATTTTCTGAACTAGGCTTAAATAAGCAGAAAAGAGATCAAAAATTAGAAAATAAGCTAAAAAAGCTGAAATAAAAAAATAGCTGAAAAGTAGTTGAAAGGCTTAAACTATAAGTGGAAAGTGCAAAGAGCTGAAATGAGCTAAAAATTTGTGGAATTAACTGGAAAAGCTAAAATTAGCATAAAACAGCTAAATAACTAAAACTGGTAGCAATAAAGGAGAAAGGAGCATAACAAGCTGAAATTAGCATAAATAAGTTAATTAGGTTAAACTAGCAACAACAAAAAAACAAAACTAGAATTTATCTGAAAACAGCTGAACTTAGCTAAAAGAAATGCTAAAAAATAGGTAGCTGAAAATGTAGAACAAGCTTAAATTAGCAGAAGAAAGCAAAAAGAACACGTTTTCCCAATTAAGCTAAAAGAAGCAGAAATGAGCACAAAAAAGTAGAGATTATCTGAAGAAGATGAAATTAGCAAAAACAGCTGAAAAGTAGCTAAAACAGCAGAAAGAAACTGAAATTACAAGAAGGAAGTGGAGAGAGCACATTTTTGCTGAATTAGGCTGAAAAAAGTTTAAATGAGTGCAAAAACATCTGGTATTAGCTACAAATGTATAGCATTAAAACAGCTAAATAGCAGCTGAAATTGCAGAAAAAATTAAACTTGCAGAAATAAGCTGAAAGGAGCATAACAAGCTAAAATAATCAGAAGTTAGAAGAAGCACAAAACTATAGTTTGCAGAAAGAATAAAAAGGACCAGCACCTTAAGTCATAGCAGGATTGTCCTGAAAGAGCTGAACGTTTTTGATTTATGATTTGTTGTAATAGCTTGAAAATTGTGGGATGAGAATCACGCCGAAAAACATACGGAAGAAAAATGGATTACACTAGTGAGAATGCTTCATAAACATTCACACAATAAGGCTAACACGAGGAGCACAATGAAATTATATCTACCCTGAACCACATCTATACATATACACAACATTTTTGTAGCTCCTTCCACATTCTTTACTTAATTTTTATGTATTTTTGTTTTTTTTCTGCCCCAGCTTCAACTCTGTGTCAGCATGGCAGCTGTACAAACAACACTACACTGAATAATCACACTAAACATGTTGCCGTTAGCACCACAAGCTATTGTTTTCCTTGGTCGTCCAGTATTTTCACAGTATAGTCATCGATCTAACTGAGCTGCGCTGCAGGGGTTTGTTCGCACAGAGGCCACACATCCTTTATAGGCATGCATGGTATGATGGGACTGCAACTGTAAGGGTTAACAGATGATTTGTGGTCATGATGTCCCACTGGAGTCTCTCGTGAGGCCAAAGAATAAATAAAATCATAAATAATTTGATATATTTCAAGATATATTAAGAGAAGGTATTTGAATTGTTAATTTTGATCAACCTTAAGTCAATTAATTAGGACTTAAGTGAAACAAAAAGTCTAAAGGACACTCATGATGGCCTAAATGATATTTTTGATACTTTGTGTGGACCACAGCTCCAAGCCCACTTTAATAGCAGCTTCTAATATCCTCAAGTTGAACAGATTTCTGGAGAGACGCTGTTCAATCCTGAAACCTCTTCATCTGCTCGAGGCCTCGTGTCGCTCTGCCTCGTTTTAAAAATAGGTTGTTCTCCTGTATTCAAGTCGAGCAGCATATTCTGTCGTCACAGTTTTACTTTGTGATTCTCTGTAAGGACAACGAGTTCCTCACGTTTTTATCCTAAACCTGCTTCACTTCAAAGAGACAGTCGATAAGCACTCGATGTCTCTTTTACAGCAATATGCTAACTCACACAGTGTACGTGGGGCGGGGGGAGGGTGAATCTGTTCATCACTGACTCTTTAGACTGATTTAGATTTTCGAATAAAAATATAAACACAAGACTAAAATCATCTGTAAGAGATGCAATGAAGCACCCGCGCTGCGATTAGGAATATGTTTGAAAAGAGTGATCATACTGCGAAGCTTTGAGTAAAAATTTATATTTGTCGTTAAAGTCAGTCGTCATTTGTTTTTGTTCACAGGGGAAGGTGGAGGTGGAGGCAGGAAAAGAGGGGATGAAGTTTGAAGCGGGACCTTTCTCCTTTTACGGGATGATGTCTCTGACAGCGTCGCCTGGTAAGACGTCTACGTTTACTTATTTATTTATTTGTTTGTTTATTTATTTATTAGAGATGCACAATATTATCTGCATCGTATTGGTATCGGCCGATATTAGCGATAAATTTAAATTTCGGACATGGACCATTTCATCAAAATAACTCACTGATATAAAAGGCACTGTTTTATATATATATATATATATATATATATATATATATATATATATATATTTACAGTATATAGTGTTACATCATTTCCAGCCCACTTTTAAGCATCTGCATTTGGTAGCAGATCAAAATGACAAAGACCATAAAGAATAATGTAGTATTTTAATTCCACAGCAGAGATATATACTGTATGTAGTCTCTGTAAGTAGGTGTAAGGGAACAAATATCGGTATTGGTATCAGTTATCGGACTAATAAGTTTTAACATATTGGGTATCGGCCAAAAATCCAATATCGTGCATCCCTATTATTTATTTATTTATTTATTTATTTTTCATTGTTCTGTAACAAGATGAAACTAAAAGAACAAAAGCACCATAAAGGTAGGATTTTTTTTTAATCATGTGTTACTGAAGCAACATACTGTACATTTAGATAAAGGAAAAACAGAATTTTAACCACTTGTTTGTTAAATTGATGTAAAAAAAAAAAAAAAAGACATAACCGAATAAAATATTATCTTTAAAAATTAGAATAGAAAATGAATAAAATAAAATAAAATGGTCAACACTCACACCAAGTTTCTCCGTTAGCTGACTGGGAGTACAGTGGTCCCTCATTTATTGTGGGGTTTAGGGGCCATCCCCCCCCCCCCCCCCCCCCCGCGTGAAATAAAAAACCTCAAAATATAATAATAAAGTGCTATGTGTTGGCATCCTGATGCATGCTCTATAATCCAGGTAAAAAAATCTAAAGAAGTTAAGTCGGGTCCTCTGGACGTTTAAAGAAAAAAGAAATTGTAGAAATGTTTCAGATGAAAGGTGGAACGCTTCTACAATTTTGTTTTGTTTGTTTGCTTGTTTGAACATCCCGAGGACCTGACTTAACTTCTTTAGATATGTGTTGTCATCATTGTTTGTTAGTATACAATGGCAAAATTGGTTCCCAGGGAGCAATTGGGGATTGGGTGTCTTGCTCAGAGGCACCACGACATTTGGGGATGGCTGGGGATCAAACCTGGGACTTTTGGGTCCCAGGTCGACTGCCCTGCCTCTGCCCCCCCAAGTAGGGATAGTAGTACAAAGTACGTACTACTACAAAGTAATAGTAGTAAGTAGTAGTTTATATATATATATATATATATATATATATATATATATATGCTTTTTAAACCCTTCCCACTCTTGCAATATTTTAAACAATGTTTCTAAACTCTAAACGCTCTAAAAGAGCACAGCATGTCATGATTTCCGCTCTCTGCTGCAATCACACTCATCACCAGCTCCCAATCTCCCTCCTTCTGTGTAAATAAACTATTTAAATTTAAATACTGTAATATTTTGTTTATTTAAAACATTACAGTATTTAAATTTAAATTGTAGAGAAGAGAAACACAGCTGGACAGCAAAGGGTTAACCCTTCACGCAGCTGCTTCAGTCAGAGGAGAAATGTGGGCGTGTCAGAGAGCTGCAGGTGGCAGAGAGCAGAGATCATGACAGGCTGCAGAGGGAGCTTCTCCCTGCACCTGTGGGCTGCACACGCACACTGGTGCTAAATCATTTAAGATAATTTATTTTAAATATACAATCCGTACTGTTCTTGCGGCTCATCAGTCAATCAGCCAATTGTGTGTCATGTCCACTGTTACTTTGAAAAACCGCAAAAGAGAGAGTCTGCGAAAAACGAACCGCGAAGTAGCGAGGGGACTATTGTATGATGTTATACAGGAATGGCCATTATTAAGTGCTTTCTGGTGCGTTTTTTTTGTTTGTTTTGTTTTGTTTTCTCAAGACACCAGAACACATTTCAAAGTGTAAAAACTATGATCCTTTGGGCTTGCCATACATCCACCTCTCACTCACTGCCATGGATCACTAGTTTACTTTTTCAGCTGTGGCACTAATGTAAAAAACAAAATTGTAAACGTCGAACAAGGTCGAGTCAGGTCCTCTGGATCCAAAAGACTTTCAAAATGCATTTCAACAAAGCAGAACCCGTCCAGAGGACCTGACTCCACCTTGTTAGATCTACCTACCTGGATTATAGAGGATCAGGATAAATAGTTACAACAAATTGCACCACCCTCCTTTAGACGGATTGCTGTATTCTTAGTGTCATACTGGACCCCGACATCAGTAATGCACCGTATTTAAGAGATCAAGATGATGGAAGACAGTTGTCCAGATTTCAATAAACTCTTCAAAGTGCAGCCTTTCCAATCCAAAACCTGTCAAACTAGAAGTTCGGTTGCCAAACTCCGAACGTTAGATTAATTTTTTTAATCTCTGCATTAAATAGTATTCGTTACTAGTCACAAATCTCAAAACAAATATTCCTACAAAGCTTCTTATGCCAATAAAAACGTCTCCTAATGAAGAGTGACGTATTAATCGCAGTTATATTTATAATGAAGGGGAGTAAAGAGTCATCGTGTCGTAAGCAAACATGAAGAGAAAGCGTCACCGACAGTAGTGATGCGCTCAGTTGTTCATTCATAAACTCCAGCTCGTTTCTCACATGGCGGTGGGATCTGAGAGCCCCCTGTTGGGGAAACAGTAGAACTTCCCTCCTGGGGAGTGTGTGAGTTAAGAACCGAACTGAGCTTCATCTTCAGCTGGTTGTTCCTGACCGTCACTTCCTTTCCAGGTCCAGTCTGATTATTTGTGCTGTTTATTATTTCTGCTCTTTGACAGACTCTCCTCTTCTTTCTTTGCTTCTCTTGTGCCCACTCTCTTGTGTCATCCCTCTCTTTCCCAAGTGCCACTGTCCCTGTCTCGTACATTTGCAGTCAGTAGAGCTGAATCGTTAGCAGGATCTCCAGGTACTTTTACCGTCTACACACACTCATCATACTAACAAATGAGTTTAGATGGCATGAGTTCATTGCTTTTGGTCCTTACGCTTTTAAGTAATTTGAGGTTTTGTGAGCAGCAAAGCGCTGACGGGTCAGTTTGTCCCTGAATGCAGCACGTAGTGGGAACGCCATGTGTGCGAAAAAGGCAAAAGAGGGAAACAGAAAAACAGATTCAGACTTAACACCCTCATCTCCTGACTCTGAGACATTAGTCAAGTGGCTGAATGGTGTTGCAAACTGGAGGCCCCAGAGCAGAATCAGGCTCCGCCCCCCCCTTCGCCCCTAACCTTTGACCCTCCGACTACATAAACAAGACTTGCAGCTACAGCCCCCTGCTGGATGCCGCTGAGCGCACATACAGCCACACATACAGACGCATACATATGTTCACGTGACTCAGACGGGCCACCGAAAACACAAACACACACGTATGTTTCTGAGCAGATACACACTCTCGCAGTGACCCACATTGTGCCTCTTCAGATGTTTTCCCCACCCGGTCTGATGCGGTCTTCTGCACAATGTGTGTATCTAAGCACAAAGTGTGTATTCTCAACACGACTACGTCTCTTTGTGCCCCTGCAGCCCCTAGAAAGTGGAGATTTAATCCACAAAAGTTCAAATGCTCTGCACACACACACACACTCATATTGCAACACAGGATTACATACATTCCAGTCCACGTAGTAGAATTAGCGCCGGCCAAGCCGTTTCCACTTTGTTGTGTGTGAGATTTCCACTGCACGTCTTTAAGAAGTGGAAAACATAATCTGCCTTTAATTAAAAATTACAAGAAGATGAAAAAAAAAAGCTGAATTAATCCTTTAATGTGTCAGCACATAGGAAGCTGCATCACTGCAACACCTTGACTCGTTACCTGCCACGTGACGGAGGTGACTCGATCCAAACCGGCGACATGTGGTGACAAAGAGCGAGTTCGTGCGGGACACGTTAACATGCTGAAACACAACTACGCCGTCTTTTCTACAAACCAACGATTTCAGTCATGCGTTGTGTTTTTTAATCCAGGTGTGAGTCAAACAAATGATGTAAAATAGAACAGAAAACACAAATATTGTGCCTAAAGGGTTATTTAGGTCACAGTTTTAGAAATGTCACGCATTAAACTGATGTTTTTGTCATAAAAAATAAGAGGAGGTCACTTTTCATCACCCAAGCTCCAAGGTCAAGATCACAAATCAAGGTCAACGTTTATACAAGGTCTTTGCTTGTTCGGATCATTGCTACAGATTGCTCTATAATAGTTTATTGACAGGTGTAAAATGTGTCGTATGCCATACTCTTGTTCATCATCAATGAATCATCAGACAATCCACTTGATAATCCCTCTAACCACAGATACAATGCTAGGGATAATAAACATTTTCCATTATCCATTATCTTTTACCCACTTCTTCCATTTTGGGTCACGGGATAAAGATTTTCTTTATATGCAATTAATGTTGCCACAACAGAACTTTTTTTTTTCATTTAGCCTTTATACAGGTAGTCTCATTGAGCCACGAGAACTCATTTTCAAGAGAGACTTGTTTAGGGAGCAGATGGGGGTTAAGGGCCTTGCTCATGGGCCCAGAGTGGGGCAAATGAGGGTGCGGGCAGGTGTGGGTGCTTCACCTACCCCACCCACATTTAAGATGTTGTCGGTACGGGGGGCTTGAACCGACGATCTTCCGATCACAGACCCACCTTCTCTAACCTCTGCTCCACCACTCCAACAACAAGTGGTAACAGAACAAACATTTAAGTCAAATTATTTTAATGTTGTGCATCCACACGTCTCGAGTCCATCAACAGGTTTGGTTTATTTGTCATATGTAAAATAAACATAAGGTCAACAATACAATAAAATGTCGAGGACGAGAAGAACCGTCTCAACACGCCAAGAAACAAAACAACAGCAGCAAATATCAAAAAATGCAACAAAAATACAAAAATAAGATGCCAAAAATGAAAAGGAAATAAATCTACAGCACCATGGTACAGTTAGCAGCATGGTACAGTTAGCAGCATGGTACAGTTAGCAGTATGGTACAGTTAGCAGTATGGTACAGTTAGCAGCATGGTAGAGTTAGCAGCATGGTACAGTTAGCAGCATGGTACAGTTAGCAGTATGGTACAGTTAGCAGCATGGTAGAGTTAGCAGTATGGTACAGTTAGCAGCATGGTACAGTTAGCAGCATGGTACAGTTAGCAGCATGGTACTGTTAGCAGCATGGTACAGTTAGCAGCATGGTACAGTTAGCAGCATGGTACAGTTAGCAGCATGGTAGAGTTAGCAGCATGGTACAGTTAGCAGCATGGTACAGTTAGCAGCATGGTAGAGTTAGCAGTATGGTACAGTTAGCAGCATGGTACAGTTAGCAGCATGGTACAGTTAGCAGCATGGTACTGTTAGCAGCATGGTACAGTTAGCAGCATGGTACAGTTAGCAGCATGGTACTGTTAGCAGCATGGTACTGTTAGCAGCGTTGTACAGTAAGCAGCATGGTACAGTTAGCAGCATGGTACAGTTAGCAGTATGGTACAGTTAACAGCATGGTACAGTTAACAGCATGGTACAGTTAGCGGCATGGTACTGTTAGCAGCATGGTTCTGTTAGCGGCGTGGTACTGTTAGCAGCATGGTTCTGTTAGCGGCGTGTTACTGTTAGCAGCATGGTTCTGTTAGCGGCATGTTACTGTTAGCAGCGTGGTACTGTTAGCAGCATGGTATATTTAACAGCATGGTACAGTTAGCGGCATGGTACTGTTAGCGGCGTGGTACAGTAAGCGGCGTTAGCAGGCCTTGTTAGCAGCGTTAGCAGATGGTAACAATGACCGCAGCATCTGCTCTCTAGAACCGGGTCAGGCAGACAGAGAGCATCCAAAGTTTCCCCGCAGAACCGAACGGGTTCATAGAGTTCCGTCCGTGCAGGCAGATGGAGGATCATGGAGACAGCCGCCATGACAGGCCGGAGCCTGAGCCCGAGGCTGGAGGGGGGCCGGGAACTGAACCACGATGGCACAATCTCAAGGCAGCGACATACAAAACTCCACAAGTGTGTTGCGTTCATACCCGTACCGTGAGTGTGCAGTGAAAAGTTAAAACAAAAACAATAGGAACAAAAACTGGTCGAGTCGAAGCGGAGCTCCCGTCAGTGCTGCCATTCTGTGGCGCACGTGACATCAGAGACCCAAAAATGTTGCCACATTAATAACACAATAATGTTGTGCAGCAAACAAAGCACCAACCTGGTATTAAAGTCCAACATCAAAGGTCCACAATGCTCCATGCAAACCTCCAAACTGATGTTAGCTTATTTTTAAAACTCCTGACTTTATGTACTGTACTTCCTGCTTAGGTGTGCAGCTTCTAGAAACCCCTTTTTCTGAGATAAGATATTGAGAGAGTTGAACTTCTTTCTGATTAGCTCCAGAAAGCACATAATTCCCTCATTCACGGTTTTTGTTCCCCTTCGCGGAGTGAAAAGGGGGAATTGGATATACCCTCCTTCTGTGCATCTGTTGATGGATGATGTGAGCATAAATGAGGTAACAACTTGGCTATGGCGGCGCATAGAGGTGCAGCGGCTTCTCATACTCCCGGGATTAAGCCTTATTTTAATTATTCTTTTGTATTTACTTATTTGTTAATTGTTAGCCTTCTTGATCTGGGACCTGAGTCTGAATTTCGTACCATGAACATGCACATTTGAGCTGGTAAAAAAAAACCCACTTGAATCCTTGAACTTCTGTAATGGTGTATGGCTACATCTAGGTGTGAGAAAGATCCCTACCAAAAATTGGGCTGCCAGGTCAAAATCTTGTCTGTTAAAATATTTATCTAGAAAACTACAAAACATTCACTGTTCAAACCCCTCAGGGGGACGTCGGCGTACAGCTTCTTCTTGAGTTCCTTCATGGTAGATCACATTTGGCAGCAAAGAACAATGCTCCTATTCATGCAGATATTTCCATGCACGTTTCACTGTTTTTGTCTTCTCTCCTTCCTCCTGTTAGGCAACATCTTGCACGCCATTTGTTTTGTAGCATCTAGTCCGCTCAGACTTTCTGTGTTTTGACCATCTTTCTGCTTCCTACAGAGAATAAGTCGCCTCCACGGCCGTTTGGACTCAATCACTCCGACTCTCTGAACAGGAGTGATCGTATCGACGCCATCACACCAACGCTGGGCAGCAGCAACAACCAGCTCAACTCTTTCCTTCACATCTACGTACCGGATTATTCCGTCCGAGCGCGCACAGACCTGCAGTACATAAAGGTGAAGGAGCGATGGCGTTATCCCGTTTCCAGATCTTGTGGAAACGATGCCACAGAGAATGTTCTCTGATCAAAGCTAACGCCGGTCCAACAAAACTTTACTTCCTTTTTGGTCAGGCAGTGTATTTTGACAACTAGTGCAGTAAACACTTTTCAAAGTGCTCCGTTTCATATAGTTCAGGTTTCCATTAACAACAACAGCCTGTTGAGATATCTGACACGATCCTCTCCGTTTCCTAGGTAACGCGCCAACAGTACCAGAATGCCGTGATGGCGTCGCGGATGGACAAGACCCCCCAATCGACGGACAGCGAGTTCACAAAGATAGAACTCACGCTGACGGAGCTCCACGATGGAGTGGAAGCCCCGCCCATCGTCACTACCACGGCCAGCATCACAAGCCCCTCCCCCGCCGTGGCCATCGCCATGGCCAATGAGACATCCCACATGCTGAGCCAGCAGCAGAACTGTGTGGGCCTGAGCAGGAGCAACCACAGCGCCCACAACGAGGGACCCATCTAGCCCCTTCTGAGCCCGGTGGAGGCTCAGAGGGGGCCAACACCCTCCACCGCGTCTCGAGCATGCCCGTGGAGCGGCGGCGTAGATGGAGACGAGGGAACGTGGGGTGGGGACACAGAGGCGGGCGGAGCGAGGGTTACGTCTCAACCTGTAGCTCCTCCACCCCCCATCATGTCAGTCGGTCAGTGAGACCCTTTAAGTGGGGATAATGGGTGCTGCGCTGGCCCGAACACCCCCACCTGAACGAGAAACCGGACAGAACCTGTGACTGAGCGTCTCGTTTGGGGCAACCTGACGCAGGATGATGGAGTGCAGTGCAAGCGCACAACCCAGCGCTCGCTGTTCTTTCTCCTCAGGCCAAAGAATTTGGTCCCCCCCTCCCACATACACACACACACACACACACCACCCCCCTCCCATCAGCCATCACACACAAACACACTGACATTCCTGCACAGAAACAAATGCCACGTCCCCCTCTGGTGCACCATTCAGGGAGGCTCAGTCAATCCCAGCACCAAAAACCGCTTGGAAAGAACCCGTTCAACCGAGAACCAAGAATGTTTTCCTGTATTTATTTATTTTATAATATTGTATGTATATATAAATATATATATATATACATATACGTATGCGTGACATGAATTAACTGACATTCGAGCATGCGTGAGTGTCAGATCCAGACAAACATGCTCCGTACCAGAGGATGAACTTCCTGTCCTGTATATTAGGAGGTGAGGGTATTTTACAGAAACTCTATGTATATTACAGATCTTATTATTTTTACTATTATTCCTAAATCAGGCTTATGGTAAACTTTTTCACCTTTAAGAAGAGAAATCACACTATTGCCTTTAAGAGAAATCAAATAACTAGTTATTTTAACAAAAGTGCAATGAAACCACAATTTATTTAAGATATGATTATAATTCAGATAATTCACTGTAATATAAATTGACAGATACGTTTGTACGTTTGTGCTGTATGTATATTTGTTTTTTAAGAAATGCTTAACTGCAGCCATTTACATGTGAGATTGTTCTTAGCGGCGCTTTCTCTCGGTCTGTGTTATGGGGGGCCGTTTGTAAAGTTACACAGTCAAAAATGAACAGCAATGTTTTGGTTTTTTTAGCCGTTCATAAGGAAAAAAATTGCTTCATTTTTTCAAAGTCATATTTTCACCATATTATTCATACATTTATAAATGTCTTAGTTCCAAACTAAATATTTAATTTACAAGCTAAATATTTAGTTCACAAACTAAATACTTAACTTGCGAGATAAATATTTAGTTAGCAAAATAAATATTTAGTTCTATACTAAATATTTAGTTTAGAAACCCAATGTTTATGCCCAAGCTAAACATTTAATTTACAAACTAAATGTTTATTTTGGAAATTAAATGTTCAGTTTGGAAAATAAATATTTAGGTCCGAGCTAAATATTTAGTTAGCAAATATTTTTTTTTGTTTAGGAATTTAATGTTTAGCTTAGAAATTAAATGTTTATTTTTTAAATTGAATATTTAGTTTGGAAAATAAATATTTAGATCTGAGCTAAATATTTAATTAACAAATTAAATGTTTATTTTGGAAATTAAATGTTTAGCTAGGAAAATAAATATTTAGGTCCGATCTAAATATTTAATTAGGAAATTAATTGTTTAGCTTGGAATATAAATATTTAGGTCTGAGTTAAATATTTAGTATGCAAATTAAATATTTAGTTTAGGAATTAAATGCTTAGCTTAGAAATTAAATATTTAATTTGGAAATTAAATGTTTAGTTTTGAAAGTAAATATTTAGCTTAGAAATAAAAAAGTATTTACACCTAAATATTTAGTTCACTAACTAAATATTTAGTTTGTAAATTAAACATTTATCTTGGACATGAACATTTAGTTTGTAAACTAAATATTTAGTGTGGAGCTAAATAATTAGCTTGATAACTAACTATTTAACTTGCAAGGTAAGTATTTAGTTTGTAAACTAAATATTTAGCTTGTAAATTAAATATTTGTTTTGGAAATATGACATTTAAAAATGTATGAATGACATGGTGAAAATGTGACTTTGAAAAATAAAGTTGCTTTTTTTTTCCTTATGAAAGGCTAAATAAACCAAAATATTGCTGTTAATTTTTGACCGTGCAACTTTACAGACGGCACCCCATACTGTGTCGTGTTTTTTGCTTTTCATCTTTTGGCCTCAAACAAATAGAGTTAATGTGATGCCTCCACTAGAGTTACTACTGTGTAGTTCAGGTCAAAGGGCCAACCAGTAATCTATGCATGTGAGGTCATGTCTCCTTCTCATCACGCCTAATCAAACTTGATAAATGCACAGTATTAATGACTTTAACAAGGCGAGCACGCTCATAAGGAGCAACCTTGACGTTAACGCGACGGTTCAGAGCGTTTAAAGTGAGGTTCTGTGGAGAAGTTATGAATAATGAACGTCTAACGTGTTGTTTGAACAACCTCGGTTTGGAGAAGGGGAGTTTAGTGGACCTGCCGCATGTTTTTATTTTGATTTTCACACATGCGCTGAAAATAAGTTGGCAAAAAGCAAGCTGAACTGAAGTTCTCTCCGGACCGTGCAACATAGCTGCTCCCACCACTGTCTTGTAAACCTTTAAGGTCAAGGTGATGCGTCCATTCTTATCCCCGAATAAGTGGAAGTGACGCCAGATGTTTTCTATTTGGTCACAGTCACATGATCATCTATGCTGGGCTGGACTGTATAGTCTTTTTGTGTTCTCACCAGTGGGAGTTGGCACAGAGTGTTTTTGTGACGTCAAAGTAGATCCCCGAGATCTTAAAACAACTTCAAACTTAAATGGAACTTTGACTAGTTTGAAAAGACCTTATTTGACAATTACTTCTGCTACATATAAAAAAAGAGACTGTTAAATTACTGTTGGTGGTTTAGCGTTTATATATTTTTATGATATATACACAAACTATTTTATTTACACTGCAATGCATTCTGGGCAATGAAGGCAGGTTTCTGCCCTGTTAAATTTGGGCATTATCTGACATTGTCCTTTAAAAGTTTATATACAGGTGCTGGTCATAAAATTAGAATATCATGAAAAAGTGGATTTATTTCAGTAATTCCATTCAGCAAGTGAAACTTGTATATTTTATTCATTCATTACACACAGACTGATATATTTCAAATGTTTATTTCTTTTAATGTTGATGATTATAACTCACAACTAAAGAAAACCCCAAATTCACTATCTCAGAAAATTAGAATATTACTTACAACCTATATATATATATATATATATATATATATATATATATATA